TTTTTCTCTCGTTGCTGAGACAAAATACCCAACACAAGTTAGGGAGGAAAGGTTTAATCTAGCTTACGGTGTGTAGAGGTTTCAGTCCATAGGCTGCTGGTTCCAAGGAGGGGTGGCATGGCAGGCATCACAGGAGAAACAGTCCATGGTGGGCAGCAGGTAGCCCACAGATCTTTTTGTCCGTTATGTCTTATCCAGGCTACTTAGGGTGGGCAGCACTCACACCCTTAATCCTAATGCCCTTCATTCTAGCATTGCACCATGAATCAATCCCAGAATCAATCCCAGAATCAATCCCAGCATGACGTACTCTAGATCCAGCCACCTCTGATAAAGCCCACCTATGACCTCTTGAGGCTTTGTGGGATATCTGGACTCGGCCTCCAAGACCCATTATTGGGTATGGAAAATAACAATCAGCCACAGGGCTCCGAGAGGATGGTGGGAAGTGCCACAGTCCTGTGCTGGGTTTCTGTCCAGTCCCGGCCCTTCTGGGTTGGCTGGATGCCTTGGCTAGAGAAATCATCTGAATCTCTTCTAGCATTGCGCTCTGAGCTCTTCAAAGTCCCTCTATTCTGTTAAGATGTATTTATGTGAGAGAAAAATGATGCAGGCAAGCAGGGTCATGTTTTTTTCAAATTCATTGCAAGTTTATTCTTCGGCCCAGCTTCAGTTGTGTTGATAAAATGGGGCCTATGGAGCTACAGAACTCGATCCCCTCGAGTTATGAGGCATTTTTCTCAAATTACCATTGCCGCATTTTTAAGCCCCTGAAAAATTAATTTGACCTTAATTTAAGGTAATCTGTTTCCAAAAGCTAAAGAGATAAAGGAACTGTTTCTAAAATGATTCTGATTAAATATTTAAAATTTTTATGTGGTATAGACAAAGATTTTTCCTTTGGATTCTATGAATTATATTTATAAAAATGCCAATTAATGAGAAAAGCATAAATTTTATTTCATGTGAATATTTTTGTGTATACTCAAAGGCTTTATTATGTAAGAAATGACCCAGAGAAATAGGCTTGAGAGGTCATGTTCCATCTAAACAACAAATGCCTATTATAATGAGTAACGAAGTTGGGTGTGGTGATGCACACCTATAATCCGAGCTCTCAAGAGGCTGAGGCAGGAGGATTGCCATGAGTTGAAGGCCAGTCTAGGCTACATAGTTCAAGTCCAGCCACAAATAGTGAGATCTTGTTTTAAAAAATCAATGACAAAAACAACGAATATATACACACAAAATAAGTATTATAGCTAATTTGGGGGTTGGTCAGCCTAATCAGAGGAGCCACTAAAGTATTCCAGGTTGCACAAGCATGGCCTGTGGCCCATCTGGAACGTGGTCCCTCGGCAAGTGTCTCTGCTAGACCTGCTTATGACTTCCAAGGGAATCTGAGGTCATCACCTCTGTAATCAGACCATCGAATTGGACTGCATGGTCACCTTGCTGTGTTCTAGGAAGGGCCCAGTGCCTTCCATTCTTAATGCAAAGCAGAAAGCTCCTTTCCAAAGACTTTACCTGCACTGTTCAAGACGTCCCAGCCCAGGTCTCTGGCCTGGCAACCAGATGATCCCAGCACTGGCCTTTGAGCCACTGCAGATAGGAAAGAGCTGCTGTCCTGGAGGGATTCCCGCTTACCTTGGGAATCGTGAAGAAAAATGCTGTGATTTCAGTTAGTAGACATGCTGAGGATAGTTCCTGTGTAGCTGGAACAAATGGTAAACTAAGAACGTACAGATGGCTGGAATAAATACTTCAGCAGAGGCACACGATGTTTGAGAGAGGACTAAACACATTTCTAGGAGCTGGAATTCATAGTTTCAGCTTCAAAGTTATTTGCGTGTTGCATCTTTTAACTGCAATGTGCTTTGACTTACAGTGGGGTTGAAGTCCCAGTGAAGCCACTGTGGGTGAAAAACATCCACAGTGGGAAATGCACTTAGTCCACCCACCCTGCACAGCCTCGTGTAGCAGCACAGTGCCGTAGGCAGGGCATGGATTGCTTCTCACACTCTTCGGAAAGATCCAAATTCAAGAAGGTGAAGCGTGGTTTCTACCAAGTGCATATCGCTTTCACACACTGTGAAGCCTAGAACTCAAACTTGGAACCATCCCTAGGTCAAGGGATCAAGCACCTGGATTCACTTTAGGGATCCTGTCTCTGGGTTTCCACCTGGGACAGAAGTTATGTGTCCCCCAGGTGTGCCAGAGCAGGTCTCTGCAACAGGCCAGAGACCAGCTGTGTCCCAGAGGCCAAGGGAGGGCATCCCGAGAGCTGTAGGGCCCAAGTGGGCTTCTTGCCATGCCTGCCTTTGAAGTCTTCCCTCAGCTTCTGAGGAACGACACTTCCTAGTCTCCTCCGACCCTTGGGGCTGCTCATTCCCCATCTCCCTTTGCCAGGTCATCTTCCTCCTGGCCTTGAAATATCAGAGTTGCCCTAAGGTCAGTCCCAAGCCCTCTCTTAACCCTGAAACTACTGTAGTGAAGAAAAAGGAACCCGTCCTCTCTCTGCACTTCTGCTTATGTGATTTTAGTGACTTCCTAAGCACTGATCTTGGAGGTCAGGCAGTTGAGCTGTGTCACTGGTCTCCCACTAGCTTGCTGTGGACGACACCTCCCACTCCTGGGTGGTTGGTGATAGTAAGGGTTGCCCGGGGGACTTCTGAGGGATCTGAAGGCCTCTTTGGTTGATACCATTGACTCTTCCCTAGGGCCTGGGCAGGTGTCCAGGGGTTGAATTGTGACACCAGAGGGCCAAACACTCCATTCTTCCTTCATGCCAATGGCACCAGTGACTGAATGTGTGTCCCCCAAAGAAACATGATGTTTGCTCACACATGCGTAGGCCACTGATTGTTTCAACTCCAGTCAGCTTTCCCCATGCTCTGAGTCCTCCTGCTTCTGCATCCCATAAATAAACCTAAACCCCATCCTTGAGGCAGATTCGACACCCGGTGTCCCCCTCCCTGCTCAGCTATCTCGGGAATAAGCTCCTACTCTTCTGCAAACTGGTCATTTCAGTGACGGGCACAGTGGACACAATGTGCTTCATTCAGTAAGATACCTATTTGGCCTTTGTTGTGGTTTAAACATCAAATGTCACCTAAAGACTCACGCATTTCGGGGCTTGATCTCCAACACAGCAAAGTTCAGAGGTTGGGCCTAGGGAGATGACCTTATCACGAGGGTGCTGACTCCATGAATGGATTCATCCACTGGTGAGGTCACAGATGAATGAGCTTTCAGGAGCTGGGGCCCTGTCAGAGGAAGTAGGTCACCAGCAGTGAGCCTTTGAAGGGTGTATCTTACCCTGGACCCTTCCCCTCTGGTTCTTCCCCTCCCCCTCTGCTTTCTGGCTCTCCTGAGGTGAGAGGCTTCCCTCCACCAGGCCCTTCCGCCATGATGTTCTCCCTCACCTCGGGCCGACAGCAATGGAACAGCCAACCCTGGACTGAAACCTCTGAAACTATGATCCCAAATAAACCTTTCTTCCTTTACATTGAATGTATCGGGTATTTTGTGACAGTGCCAGAAAACTGACTAATATAGTCTGTCCCTAGTTCTGATATAGAACTTCTAAGACTCTGGGAATCTCTGATGGGAAGTTGGTCATTTGTGCATTGCTATTTTTGTAATCAAATCTTGTTAAATAACAAAGAGCCCCCTTTGATAATACCCAAGTTTATGATAATGTGATTTTGACCAAGACCCCCAGATAGCCCCAGGATGGGCTGGTTACCAGGAAGAACCACTGAGAGAACTTTCAACCCATCTCCTGCCCTCCAGGAAGAAGGGAGAGCATGCCCACGACCTCAGGGGTGGTGCTCCTTAGATTCTGTTAAGGGGTTAGGGGTGTGTCTTTGCCTGCAAGGAGAGTTGTGGCCCAAAGGGTTCCCCCAACACCAAGCCTCTTTGACATCCAATTTTACCTTTCAGCTAGTTTGTGAATTTTGTATTTAACCTCATAATCTGTCAATGCTTATTGAAATATAAAAGCAATGGTTTCTTTCCCAAATTTCGAAGAGCTCCATGCGGGGCACATAAACATAATAACCACCAAGATCTCAGCAGCAGGACCAGCCGAGAGCATTTGCAGTGGGAGAGATCTTCCGGAAAGTGGCCTGGGTGCCAGTTGCACCACAGCCTAGTTTAGGGGTCCAGGCAGGCCGATGAGAAGTCGTTCTAGGCCTTTATATTCCCTGTGTAGAGCAGGGTAATGTAATTCCTACTTTGTAGAGTTGTTCTATAAGTAAGACCGCGCGGGAAGAAGTGGATGCAGTATCCAGTAGGTGCTCAATTGGTATTAGCTATTAATAGGAACCTTACCCTCATCTTCCTCTACGCGATTCTTTTTGGGAAGTGCTTTCAAGCCCCGCCGGGGTGGGGGACGGCGGTTTGTTGCCACTCCCCTACCCTGTGCTGACAGGCGCTCAAATTTCATCAGTGAAGTGGGTTTTGAATCAAAAAATAAAAACTTCTGGAAGTCTTGCAGTCCCCAAATACGGTGAAGTTCCCGGCGTCCGCGATCTCCTTCGGCGCAGCCCCGGGTTGGCCTCGGCCCCTTGCACGGCCCGAGCTTGCCGCGTGCCGGGCCGAGGAGGGTTCAGTGGGCCTGCAGGGCCGTCCTCCCCGCCCCGCCCCGCTCAGCCCGGCCCGGCCCAGCCCAGCCCAGCCCAGCCCAGCCCAGCCCAGTGGAGCCGAGCCCAGCCGAGACGAGGGCGGGACGTGCACGCGGGCCGGGCGCGAATGGCTCCGCAGCTCTGGGCTGCGTTGGTGTCGGTCCGTACTGCAGGGTCCGCGACCTAAGCCTACCTGCGCCTCCAGGGCAGGTAGGTGGGGACCTCGGGGCTGCCAGCCGGAGCTCGGGGAGGGAAGCCCGCGGATCGGAGCCCAAGTTCGGGGAAGGCGGGTGCCGGAGGAGAGGGTGCTCCCCGAGCCTTCGGCCTCGCAGGACCCACCGCACGCCCGCACCCGGGACTCCCAGGTCTGTGACAGGCGGGGGCGGGGGCGGGGGGAGCTGGCTGCGGGAGACCCCCTGCTCCGGAAGGGAGAGCCCTTGGGCCACCCTTGGGGCGGGACGATCAGGAGGGGCACAGCCGTGAGCCTCGGGAGGGCTAGGGGCAGGGAGCCCGCGACCTTCAGAGTCTCCTCGCTCGGGGACTGGTTTCCAGGTGTCCGCCCCGCGCCTCCCCGCCCCCGACCCTGACCCTCCCCCGCCGGGCAGGCCCACAGGGCCCAGCCCGCGTTCTCCTCCCACTCAGTCCGAGCAGCGCAGCTAAAAGCTGACGGCTCCACGGGAACCTTGCACGTCCTGGCCGGCGGCCTCCGTCTCCCCTAGGACATGAGTTCCCCGGGGAGTCTGGAGGCGGCGCCCGCAGCCGGACAAGGCCGGGGGGAGGACGGTGCCGCGGAGTCCCGCGGGGCGCAGCTGCTGGGCTCCGGCTATGAGGAGCTTCCCGCTGCAGAGGCCCCGGGTGTGGAGGGCGGGTCCCTAGCCTCAGAGGAGGTCAGCCCCTCGGGCGCGGAGGACCAGCGGGGACCTCGCCGCCCGCGCGTCCGCTCCTTCTCGCTGCCCGCCGACCCCATTCTGCAGGCGGCACAGCTCCTGCGGCCGGGCGCGGAGGGCGGGGAGCGAGCCGGGAACTGCTGTGCCAAGTGCAAGAAGCGGGTGCAGTTCGCCGACTCTCTGGGGCTGAGCCTGGCCAGCGTGAAGCACTTCAGCGAGGCTGAGGAGCCGCGGGTGCCGCCCGCCGTGCTCTCCCGCCTGCACAGCTTCCCCATGCGAGCCGAGGACCTGGAGCAGCTCGGGGGGCTGTGGGCCTCGGGCGCGGTGCGGGCCCCCCGCCCCGCGCCGCCACCCGGGCCCCGGCTCCCGCTCCCGCTCCCGCTCCCGCTCCCGCTCCCGCTCCCGCTCCCGCTCCCGCTCCCGCTCCCGCTCCCGCTCCCGCTCCGGCCGCTCTTCCAGCTCCCGGGGCCGAGCGCCGCGGCCGAGCGCCTGCGGCGACAGCGCGTGTGCCTGGAGCAGGTGCAGTGCCCCGCGCCGACGGGCGCCGAGGTGACCGGCTCCGGGCGGGTGCTGCGCTGCCCAGGGCCCAGCGCCGTGCTGGTGCGCTACACCTTCACCGAGTGGCGCACCTTCCTGGACGTGCCCGCCGAGCTGCAGCCCGAGCCACCGCCGTCGGGGGACGCGGAGGGGGACCCGGCGGCCGAGCGCTTCCGCTTCTCGCTGTGCCTGCCCCCTGGCCTGCAGCCCCGGGAAGGCGAGGCCGGGCGTGTGCAGGACGCCGCCGCCGTCCACTTTGCTGTCTGCTACCGCTGTGCGCAGGGCGAGTTCTGGGACAACAACGCGGGCGCCAACTACACGCTGCGCTACGTGAGTTCCACGGACCCGCTCTGAGCCCGGCCGCCGCCGGGTACCATGGGAACGCTTTGCGGAGGCAGCGGAGGACACCGCCGAGGCCCCCAGCCCAGGCAGATCCTTGAGCGACGCGCGTGGGCCTGGTCCCAAGTCTTCTCCACCCTCCCAGATGGGCTCTGGACGCCCAGCCTTCCTCAGAAGGGAAGAAACCCCCAAGGCCCCGAGGAAAAAGCCTCCCAGATCCTGGGCTCTATGACCATGGATTTTGTTTTTAACTCAGACTCAGTATTTTCGCCTTTGCAACTTGACCGAGCCCGGTAGGGGAGGACAAAGCGCTCTGCCACCGCGCATGTCGGCGACGGCGTAGGAACTGGCACACCCTTTCTCCCAGAAAACTGGCCGGGGGCTGGGTCGCGCTGTCCTTTTAACTGGGACCTGGAGAATGTTTGCTCAGATGCTATTTACTCGTGCAAATTGTGGTCAACTATCCCTTTAAAAAGTAAAGGTCACTCGCACACCTGTTTGCACTGCGTCTTCGCTCTGGAGCGTTTTGGGAGGCCAGGCCGTCTGCTGATGACACAGTGCACTTTAATCGTCAACAGCAGCATTTACAAGTTTCCCTTCTTCGGTCTCCTGCGTGGTGTGGAGGGGTCCAGGTTTCCCCACTGTTGGAGAAAGTGTGCCATCCCGGCTGGGATGAGACGTTTGGTGAAGTGGGATGGCAGAGTAACACAGCACAGCTGGCCTTGGTGGTGAGCCGCAAGCAGCCTCACACATGCCCCAGCCCCCGCGCAGACCAAGCAGAGAATATCTGTGCTGGGCCTTCAACAGGTCTGGATGCCAAGCACAAGGGACTGGCTGGAAGCGTGGCTTTTTATCCCTCAAAGCCACAGCAAGGCCTGGTGACTTCGTGGCTCATGAAGGCACAGAATCAGGGCCTGAGTCTTTCTTGCCCACTGCTGGGGCCTTCGAGTGCCAGCGTGAGGTGGCCCTGCCGAGCCAGCAGCTAGGGGTCCTAGCAAGGACCTGGTTCCATCACACCTCGGTCATCCCTTCCTTGGGTAATTTACATTTTTGAAAGACATGTCCTGTTTTCTAGCACAGGGCTAGTATCATTTATTGGTTTGGAGCTGGGGGCCTTGAAGGAGGGAGGTATTCATGGTTGCCCTGATGAACAGGGTGGTCAGCGGACTAAAGACCATGAGCCACATCGGCCAGAGCCTCTCTTGGTAGGTGGGCCTAAGAATGGCTTGTAAATAGTGGAAAACACCCCAAAGAAGAATACTGCTTTGCAATGTGAGAACATTACGTGAAATTTAGATTTGGTATCCATAAATAAAATTTTACTGGAACACAGCCATGTGTATTTGTGTATTTCCTATGGTGGCTGTTGTGCTACCATGGCAGAGTTGGGTAGATGCAACAGAGACCATATGGAAAGTGAAATATTTACTGTCTGGCCCTTTATAGCACACAGGCCAACCCCTGCTTTGTATTTTTAACACTGCTGAGAATTGTAGTTAACAAGGCAGTTAACCTTTTAGTGAATTTACCACTTGAAATAAACCTCTGAGAAAAGGCAAAACTGTTTACACTACTCTCAGCAATCTTGGTTAGAATAAACACTGAGGCAAAAAGAGCAGTTATTACTGAGTAGGGAGGGAAAATCCACCTGCTGCTTTTTCACTTAGAAGATAATACCAGACACTGAAATATGGGCACAGTCTCTGCCTTTATTTGGTGTGTGTGTGCACGTGTGCGCACACATGCACGCCTGCTGGGGAGTGAGCCCAGGCCCTCCGACATGCTAAGCATGCACTCTGCTCTCAGCTACATCTCTGGCTGCCTTTGCCTTTAAGTGGAGTATCTTTAGCTCTGCAAATATTTAGTTTGAACTTTGAAGTGGAGACTTCTCTTTGAATATGGCAGTGTTACCAAAGGTTAACCATGGGGAAATTTTAAAATAATTGTCGATGGAGACCATCACAAGGTAGCCAGCTGTCATTTATAGTTGGAATAAGCACTATATAATTTATATAAACGTTAAAAAACGTATAACATGGGCCGGGGATTTAGCTCAGTGGTTTTGCCACCTGCTATGCAAGTGCAGGGACCCAAGTTCGATCCCCGGTACCAAAAAAAAAAAAAAAAAGAAAAAATGTATAACAATAAAAATAATCACTATTGCAGTATGTGTTACAAATTTAAACTTTTATAACAATAAAATAACCAGTTATTAAAGTGATGTCTTTTTTTCTCAATTATAAAAGCAATCAGAGCCGGGGATTTAGCTCAGGGGTGCTGCTGCCTGCCTCACAAGTGCAAGGTCCTGAGTTCAATCCCCGGTACCAAAACAGAACACCAATCAGTGCCTTTCATGCAATGTGCAGGTACTTTTGCATCTGGTAATAACATTCTTAAAAGTGCATTCTTGCAGCTAGATGTGCACGCCTGTAATCCCAGCTACTCGGGAGGCTGACAAGCTCAAGGCCAGGCTCGGGCAGCTAAACCCTGCCTCAAAAATTGGGAGAAAGGGCTGGGCATAGAGCAGAGGTACAGTGCTCACACAGCAAGCTCAGAGCCCTGGGTTCAATCCCCAGCACCACAGAAAAAAAAATACATTATTGCACAGTAATGCCTAGCACCTCTGTAAATATATTTTATATTTTTCTTACGTATTTGTAAGTAGTACATTTTAGCTAAAAAATAGCTATAGTCAGCATATATATAGGCTATATATGCTGATTTATATCATAATGCATTATTTTTGTTTTTTATTTAAAATTGTATTAGGGGCTAGAACTGCACCTCAGTGGTTAAGCATGTGTGTGGTGTGTGCAAAGCCCTGGGTTTGCTCTCCATTATCAGACTGAAAATTTAAATTAGGAGGCCAATATAATGTAAAAATCGAGAGTGTGTTATCTAGTACCCTTTAAAATAGACTGTTACATCTACAGTACAATAGATAAGACAGATTTTTAAAAAGTACAGTACACACAACAGATTTTCTAAATTGATTTCTAAAAATATAATTTTGAATTCAATTATTTTGCAAAGACTTGTTTCATAAGCTAATGAACATCCAACATGGTTCTAAGGCAGGAGATGCAGCTTTGCCATTGTCTAAATCTTGGAGGCTAGCTTTTCAGATTTGTTAAAATATTTTGAGCAGCCCAGTGTTTCTGCAAACACTTTATTAGCATGGTGGTAATCTCTCTCTAGGGCCTTCACACTGAGGCACTTCCCTAGCCCCTTCATATTGTTTTATTCATTCATTCTGAGACAGCATCTCACTAAGACATGAAGTTGTCCAGGCTGGACTCGGACTTGTGATTCTCCTTAGCTTCCCAGAGTGCTGGGATTAGAGGCGTGCACCACCACACCCACCTGGCAGTCTTTTAAATGATGATTTTATGACGTGCTAACTTCTCTTCATAGATTAATAACAAACTTTTCCTGTTGTTGCTGGTGATTGAACCCAGAATCCTGGGCAAATGCTCTACTGCTGAGCTATATTCACAGGCCGTAGCAAAAATTTTGAAATAATTATGAAGTAAAAATGCTTTTTGTTTTTTTAAAGTTATTTCAAAGGAAAGGGAACTATCTTTTTTTTTTCCAGCAATGTTTACCTCACCTTGAGTAAGTTTAGGGTCATTCTGCTTATGTAATAAAATCTTACCTAGCTCTAGTAAATACTGAGTAGTAAATAGTAAATAAAAAGTTTTTTCCAGAGATCTAATGGTGCTGTTCTTCACTAAGGAGATTCTAGTTGCTTCCCTATGGCCGAGTGTTTCTGCGGATCGCTGCATCAGGGGTACTGGATGAGATGTGGGTTCTTCTCTCTAGGGCTTCAGAAGCAGCACCTGGCAATGTGGCAGCAGGTACAGAACAAAGCCCTGGTCTGTGAGGGAAGGTGGATGACCTATTCTTAGACCTAAGTAGGGAGCCCTTGGAGCTCGAGGGGGGCACCAGCATCTCTGGCCACCAGCAGCAAGAGCTGTGGCTGTCGGGCTTGATCTGGTCATGAAATAGTTAATGAATATGCTGCTTAATTCCCAGCTAGTTTAACAGATACAAAGAACTGAAGCCCTCGGCGGCGAGACGTGCCACTGTCCCAGACCAGATGCAGGCTGTGCTGTCTCCAAGCAGACAGAACACAGAACGAGATGTTATAGAAGAGATCACAGAAGTACAGCACTGCATCTTCCCTTCCCTTCCGCTGCATAGACCCCAGCCACACACATTTGCACCAGTCTCTGTACGTGGCAGATGTGCCAGACCCCTCTCCCAATCTCCTATAAAAACTCCCGCCTTTTGTCTTTGGGCACATCATGATGGGCCTCTCATTGCCCTCAGTCCACCTCCACCCAGGTGGATAAAGCCTGACCAGTCTGCTCCGCCGCCTTCCCCAATTCCCAAAGCAGCTGGGAGGGAGACAGCTGTTAACCATGGACACCCCTGGAGGGCTGAGTATTTTCTCCCACTGTAGATGTGGAGGGCCTTCTATCATGGCTGTCCCTCCACTTGCTGTCCTCTTCTGGGGCCCTGACCCAGGGATGAGGGCCTCCTTGGAGCACAGTGGCTCTTGAGATGTCCACACGGTGAATTGGGGCCATCTTATTTCATCTTTGGAAGGTTTCTGCTGGGCTCTCTGGAAGCCATTTCTCAGGTTTGCGGTATTTCAGTAAGGGTTTGGTGTATTTTAGTGAGCTAAGAGTTTTCATTCCCTGATGCAGTTATGTATGGACATGCGATGTTTTGCTTTTGTGGCATCATGGAGCTGAAGGCAGTGTATTTCCTGCTCATACCTTCAGAGCTGGGTTTGTAGGTTAAAAGAGAGCACTGTGGTCCTAGTAACTTAACAAACAACAGGGACAATTTCTAAGCTGTCTGCAGTCTGGCCTCTGCCCAGCCAAGTCCCCGTGAGCCCAGGGCTATGGCTCCCAGGATAGGATGGAGAATGCGCTGCTTGAAGTCATTAGGGCCAAGGGGCTGGGAGCAGGGAGCTGGCTACCTGGGCTAACCCCAGTGACCTGGCTTTCTGCTCCTGGCCATCTTGTAGGTAAGCGGCTTGTGCCCGGAAGCTGACCCTGGTTTCTCTTCTGGACATGACAGACTCTTTACCTATGTGGCCCAGGGTGTCTTCCTGTTCTTTTCTGGACTTCCTGTAGCTGAAAGAGTGGAGGGAGGCAGCCTGAATTGACCTGCACACCCTCAAAGCGCTGGTTGTTGCAGCACTAAATACTATTACTTTAGGCTCATTCAGATTTAAACTCCTTTGTGTCTTTCCAGTAGACCTTGGATTTGCATTTCCTGGAGTTTAGTTCTTTGACCTTGACTTTATTTGAGCAGGAAAATTTTGGAAAGGAAACAGCCTCACTTCAGCCTGAATATAGATTCTGACATGGCAAAGATCAATCAGGAGGATCCTTTTTAAAGGTGACGTGAGATTTTCCCAGTGCATCTCATAGAGGAAGAGAAGCCTGTTTGTCACAAGTTGAGAGCCAGTTCCACCAGAAAGTCTACATTTATACAAACTACTCACCTGTACGTATGTCTTTCTGGTAGAGCAAAGCTATTTGAGGGGGAGGACCTGGATTTTGTATACTCCCTGACTGTGGTCATTCAGTCCAGTCACACCGGCACTGCTCTGGTCCTGTCCAGCAGACTTGTTACCTGACGTTAACAGTATCCTAATGATATAAGGCATATGATATATGGACCTCCAAATAATATAAGGGAAATACTATAACTCCGAACCTGCTAGATGTCCAATATGCCAAATTTATGTTCTCTAAAATTGAAGAATGAACTCTAGGAAGAATTTGAGAAAGAGATGGCTTCTGAGAGAGGGGCCTGGGAAGTGGTTGCCCTTCAACCCTGCTTCTCAGAGGTGTTTTATGGAGCAAAGTCACGAGGTGAGGTGGGTTCAAGTTGGGATAAAACTACAGTCAATAAGATTACAAGTATAGTTGCTTTGGCAATATTGATCCAATGGGAAATCACGAGGTGGGTATTGAGGGTGGGGCAAATAGAGTATAGATTATAACAAGTGTAGTTGCTTAGGTAATATTGATTAAATGGGGGAACTAACAGGGAAGCAGGTCACATAGCAAGCATACAGGGTCCAAAGAAGGATTTCCAGGAAGAAATGGGCTAAAGATGTTTTGACTTCCACCCAGGTGATTGATGCCTTTTAGACCGTCAATCACTGCTGTTCATCTCCAGGGGAAGTGTGAGTGCAGTTCCTCTTTTTCTTGAAGCCTGGCTTTCTGTGAATGTGCTTCCGGCCACTATTGTCTTGCGTTTTGAGGTCCCAGCCCTACCTAACTGCCTGTAATACTTGTAAGTAACTT